AGTCAGTGGCTGATTTTTATGGAGACCCTTTTCGAGTCGCTTTCTACCGTGTCTGCCCACCCCTTAGGGCGACAAGTTCAGTGCACTGAATTACTGCCGTTGTTAAAAAGCATTTCGTTTTTATTAACTTCTGAAACCATGTCTGGGCTTCAAGGCAAGTCCATCTGGCTTCCAGGAGAGGGCCAGGACTGCAGGCCTCGGACCCAGGGCACCAAGGGCAGAGCAGAGAAAGGGAGCAGTCAGAGCGGTCTTGAGGGGGCAGGAGGCTGGGTTCCTCGGGGCCGCTGTCCCCTGCTCTGTGGCAGTGGTAGGGGGGGCTCTGAGGGAAGGGGTCATCGGAGGCGGGATCCAGGAGGCTTGAAGAAAGAGGTAGGGGCCTGAAGCCTTTGAAGCTCCTGCTGATATTGTTGTCAGGGGCCCCCCTCATCCAGTGAGCCTCTGGGTACATCTCAGAGTTACGCTGAAAGCTGCTCGATGCCTCTGCCCCGAGACCAGACGCAGCTAGTTCTGTTTGCCCCCAGCTGTCAGTAGACAGGGCCACTACAGGTCCCTTACTGGAGAAAAAGGAAACCACGTAAGGGTTTGTGGGAAGGGGAGGTGGCAGAAATTGCTCCCAGGAGACTGTCGGGAACGTGGCACAGTTTAAAGAACATGGCCCGGGAGTCAGAAGGACGGAGTTGAATGTAGCTCAGTCCCCTCCTAGGGAGCAAGACTGGAGCCCCACTATCAAGCATGGCTCAGACTCTCCAGTGCCTCCTAAGTGCCAGGTAGTGGGAGGTGACCGTGAACAGCCCTCAAGGCTGAAGGGGAAAAGTGATAGTCGTATGCCTGGGGCTGCTAAGAAATGGGGCCGGGAAGACGGGCTTGGGTTCTCACAGGAGAGCCCTGAAGATGTTGTGGAAACCCAGCTTTGGCCGACGCTCATGGATACACAGAGCCTATGTACTGCTAAGCCACTTTGGTGCTTCCTGTCCCAAACATGAGGCCACTTGTGTCTAGAAAGGGGAAGTGCCCCTCCCCCAACCACCGACAGGATCCCAGTACAGGTCCGACATTCTGCTGCAGGGGAGCTAGTGTGCTCCTGTCATCAGCCAGAAAGCTCAGCCAAGTCTTCTTAGGCCATGATTGGACCCTGGCCTGTTTCTGTCACCTGTCCTCCACCCGACCCCCACCCTGGGGGAGTCCCCTGTGTGTATGTTACCTGTGCATGAAAAGATGACCAGGTGTTCTCAGCAGCCTGACCCTTTGCAAGCCCCTTCTGTCTCCCTCCTTCTAGGTGATCTGATGTCCCCCAGGTACCCGCACAAGGGCGCTGTGGATGACACCTGTCTCCTGGGATTAGAGGTGTTAGTGCTCAGGTATTCCCTTCCACTGACCTCCCAGGACCTGATTCCTCCACCCCAGCACTAATTTAATCAGGAAATAGCGGAGTCCACATTTCCCAGGGGTTATAAATAGTCACAGCCGTTCAGGCAACATCATTTCTCTGGAAAATGTGCCATGTCCCTCTCCACTCCCCACCCTCCCTTCTCTGTATTTAAATGACATCCTGAAATAGACTTGGTTTCTGGAGGCTGCTGGCCTCCTGGGAGACGGAGCATGATTGTCAGGGTGCCCAGGGGCTGGACAGGCCTTCCTGAGCAGGTACCGGGCCGCACCTGCAGCAGGGGTCCGGAATGTGGCGGTGGTGGGGACTCAGCAAAGTGAAAAGGGGCCACCTTACCCTAAGTGGGGAGCATGTGAAACAGCGCACTGCTACTTGGAAGGCAGACTCTTGGTGTGGCTGGAGGCAGAGAGGCAGGAGCATTCCTGCGGCCTGGGGTCCTCCAGGACCGCTTTCTGGAAGACATGCCCTGCATAGTATCAGAGTTGCTCTTCCTGTCTCAGTTGCTCCCAGGAAAATGGACCCACATGACGGAGGGGTGTGGGAAGCCTTGCTGTGGAGGTGGCCTGCCAGACTCCAGACCCTGGAGGCCTGATGTCTCCTTGCTGAGTCAGTCCCGCCACTGCTGAGTGACAGGTGCAGGACTAGGTTAGGTGCATTGCATGTTACCCTGCAGCTTTAGCAGAGGGAGTCAGGGAGATCTGATTTCATGCCCCGGCTCTCACTCCCTGAATGCTTGGGACTGAGCAGGTTCCTTGTATTCTTTAAGCTTGGTGTCCTTGTCTGCACAATGAAAGTAGCCACAAAAGCTTACAGTGGCTAAGATGCTGTGTATCATGGGTTTATCACAGTTTCAGACTTACGGACAATGCTCAGAATACATCAGGCAGCCCTGTGAGGCCAGCATGGGTACCCCAGGAAGAAGCTGAAGTTCTGTGACCTGCCCAGATTCGCCTGGGGCTGAATAGAAGCCCCAGGCCACCCTGACTTCCAATCCCTGCCCTTTTCCCATTCAGGCTGCATCCAGATGCCACTCTAGGTAGGGCTTAGCAGGGAACCACTGGCTCCATTCAGAGCAGCTGCCAGGAAGTGCCAGGTCATGGGAAGCTGGGACAGAACAGCTGGAGGGGATCCAGCCAGGTCCCTGGAGAGATCTGCTTTCTAAAGGGCTCATCACTCCAGCATGTGTCTCCCATGGAGGGGTGCATCTGCCTGTCAGCTGACAGAGAGCAGTTGAGATCCCTCTAGACCCCTGTGGCCACTGCTGGGGGACAGAGGTGAGGGCAGAACCAGGGGTGTGAACAGGATGAAAGAATTACAGGAGGCAGCCTGCTGAAGATCCAGGGAGGGGTTGGGACAGAGAAAGTGAGAGAGGGAGGGTTCAGGACAGAGGCCAAAGTCAGGAGTGCCCTTGGGACCAGTGGGACCCTTGGCCACGAATATTGTAGACCCGAGATCCCGGTGGCAGGGGTCCTCCCCAGAGGTCCCTGGTTCTCCCCACACTGCCTTCTCCATCTCCTGTCCTCAGGTCACTCCCTTCTGTGGGTAGGGGGCTGACTGCTGAAGCTGGGGCCTGGGCCGCAGCTGCCTAGACACAGGGCCTAGAGCCAGCCAGGTGCAGCCCCCAGGCCCTCTCTGAGGTAGCAGAAGTTGTGAGAAGGACTTGGGCTGACCCAGATCCAGTTTTGCTTCTGTGGGGGACAGTGGCCTGTTAGAGCAGCATTGTCCCTGGCATACAGAGCCCCAGTGTGCACAGAGACGTCCCAGGGCAAGGCGGGCAGGGGGCCTTGAAGAGAGTGAGTTTGCAAGTCTTCAGAGGTCAGGCATCTCACGTCGCTTCCCACTCTGCAATGAAACTCTGAGGCCCAGGCTCACCATGGGGGTTTTTTGGCCCAGGAGGCCCAGACCTCAGGGGCGACAACAGAGGGCACCTTAGAAATGCCCGTGTCAGCGCTGAGAAAGAAAAGACTCTAAAGGCTCGTCACAAAGCCTTTGGAAGTCAGGTGGTGTCCAGTGCTTTACTCTCTGCTAAACTGATGAGGACGTAATTAACAGCTGAGAGATCATTTAAAATAATGTTTGAAAATAGGTATAGAGGGAATTTAAGGCAAATGACAGGGAAAGGGGTTAGTGACTCACCTAACATTGCTGTACTAAAACTTTTCAGCTTCGTTTAGTGATTTGTGCAAACAGAATGCTTCCTTGTTTACATTATTTAAAAGAAAACCAGAAAATTTGGAACAGAATTGGTGCTAAACCTCATCTTATTCTAGCAATAAATAAGATTCGTAGAGACACGTGACCCAAAACAGGAAACATGCTTTACCGATCTCATTCAGAGATACAGTTCCACCAAAGTGCTGCTTTGCTGCTTAGTGTTTATTAAAATTTGTAGTACATTGGAGTTTTTTTATTGTGCACTGTTAATCATGGTAATAACAAGTCCAGAACTTACTTTACATATTCAGAGATTTTCTTAGGAAAATTTCTTAGGAAATTTTCATTTCAATGTATAGATGTATTTTGGGAGCAAACTATACTACGGTGTTGACTAAAAGACTTGAAAATGTAAAAATATAAATTAAGAAGAACCTGTGAAGGAGAAACGGAATAGAAACAGAAACCTGTGGAGAAAAAGACAAAGCAGGTAGGCTTTCTGCAAGGGAGAGAAGAGCCTGCTTGATGTTCTAAGTGGATGATAGTGGGTATCAAATCGCTATGCTAACTATATTCCTCTTCATACCTTTAAGGGATGATGTAATGGTTTATTTTAAGATGTCAATACTTATATTATTCTGGAAATTATATTCTTTGTAGCTACTTACACTTGCTGTAGAAATGTTGGATTAAAAATGTGCTTGGAAGAACATAGTTTTTCAAAACTATTTTGTGAATGCTCGGACAAAATGGTTTGAAGGCCCCTGAGTTAGAGGAATGAAAGCCTCATGTGCCTCCAGACCTCCCCCGGTGCCCTTACCCCCGGAGCTGCAGCCTAAGCCTGGGGACCTGGCCTGTGGAGGCTTCACCTGTGGGGGAGCCAGCTGCTCAGCCCAAGCTGTCTCGTTGTCTCCTCGCAATGATCCAGTGAGGCCAGTTCTGTTACAGCTGTGGAGAACAGAGGAGGCTCAGCAAGGGTACTGTTTGCCCAGGTCCTGCTGCTGAAAGCTGCAAAGTCAGGATTCAAACCCAGGCAGCGGACTCCTGAGAACAGACTTACCTCTTCGTTGCACTGCCTTCCCATTCAGCAACCCCGTACGCACCACAAGGGCTTAGATCTCCAACCACTCCAATTTGGGTAGTTGAGCAAGTTGCTTTTATGACCTTCAGTTGCTGCATCTATGAAATGGATTGACAGTGCCCATCTCACGGTGTAGCAGTCAGACAATACCTTGTAATGAGCATGCACCCTAAAAGAGAGGGTCCATGCCTCCTCCATGGGCTCCAAGGGTCTTCCATTAGCCAGGGCCAGAGCTACCCTGAAGGGTTCACTTCAAGATAAGCATCAAGGCTTCTGCTTTGCTGGCTGGCGAGGCGCTGCCAACAGCAGGGAGAGTGCTGGCTTGGTCCCTGAGCTGCCCCCCTCTCACTCACAGTCCTTCTCATTCTTTCTCTGCAGTTGGATCCACAGACTGTAGAAACCAAGAACTGGCACACAGATGTGATCGAGATGAATGGGGTGAGCCCAAGGGGTAGGAGATACCTGAGCAGGGGTGGACAGCCCTTGAACCCGTAGGTGCTGCGCTACCTCCACCTCCCTCAGCCCCACCCTGCTCCTCTCTCTGCCCCCCCCATTCAGGTGTTTACAGAATCCTGGGGGCTGGGGGTAGCCTGCTTGCAGTCCTGGGGAGGGAGGCTCCTGTACTTGGGGGGTTCTTCTCAGACACTCATGCCTGCCTCATCTCTCAACCAGATCAAAGTGGAATTCTCCATGAAATTCACCAGCCGGGATATGAGCCTAAAGAGGACTCCATCCAAAAAGCAGACTGGCGTCTTTGGGGTGAAGATCAGCGTGGTGACTAAGTAGGTGCTGTCTGGTATCAGAGTGCTGGCGTTGGCCCCCAGGTCCCCATCAGTCCCTGCCTCCCAGCACCCCTGCACATGCAAGTACCTAATTAGACACACACACACACACACACACACACACACACACACACACACACACACACACACACCCAATGCAGTGGTAACAGACGGCCAGTTTGGAGGCTGACAGTGGCCTACAGGGGTGTGTTCTCTGGCTGACTCAGTGCTTCAGAAACAAAGGAGCCATCATGGAAACAAGCAAAGATAAGGGAAAAGCACGAAGTGCTTGCTTCTTGCAATAAATGGGAAGATCTGACAGTGACTATAGGCGTTTGGGCTTCATAGCAACAGGTTGAGATGCAAAGAGTGGCTGCCCCTTAGGGAAGGGCAGTATCCTTGGGCTCATGCCACCCCTCTGTGCCCTTTGTCTCCAGGTCCAGACCCAGCTCCCTCCTATCTGTTGGACCCCTAAAAGCACTTTTTTTCTTGACATGCTAGGGATTGCACCCAGGGCCTCAAACATGCTAGGCAAGTGCTCTACCACCATGATAGACTCCCAGCCCCTACAAGCATTTGGCCTTTTCTTTTCTCTTGGTTTTTAGAGACAGGGTTTTGGCTATGCAGAACCCCAAGCTGGCCTTGAACTCACTATGTAGTCCAGGCTGGCCTGGAACTCACAGCAATCCTCCTGCCTCAGCCTCCTGAGTGCTGGGATTACAGGTGTGTGCCACCACACCCCATATCAGCAGCATTTGATTTTGAGGGCACATTCCTTCTCAAGAGCCTTTAGGCCATCTCCCAGCACTTCTTCCTGCCCGTGTCCTTTGCTGTGCCTCAGCAGGCCAGCGTTGGCAGGCAGAGTGGGGCTAGGGGTATGGCCTCTTCCTCAGCCCTTTCCTTGCCCCTGCTTCTGACCCTAGAGGCCCGAGCTACCTTAGGCCAAGCTATGCTGGGGGGCGGGGGGTGCTGGATAGTGCACGCAGCACTGCAAGGCTCCATCTCCCCAACCCTTGCATCCCCGTGCCCAGGCGGGAGCGCTCCAAGGTGCCCTACATCGTGCGGCAGTGTGTGGAGGAGGTGGAGAAGAGAGGCATCGAGGAGGTCGGCATCTACCGGATATCGGGAGTGGCCACAGACATCCAGGCGTTGAAGGCCGTCTTCGATGCCAGTGAGTCTGGGTCCCAGCCAGTTGGGGTGGGTGCCGTGCAGGCTGGTAGGAGAACCAGGAGGACCGGGAGGCCTTCTGCATGGAGCCTGACCTGCAGTCCACGCTGCACGCAATAGACTGTGAGTCACTGTGGCAAGCACCCGCTGGATTTTCTCATGTAATCTCCCACTCGAATCCCTTATCCAGTGCTACAAATAAGGAAATGGATGGCGCTCCGAGAGGCCAGCTCACTCGCCCAGGGCTTTTCCAGCGTGTAGGTGTAGCGTGTGGACTTAAACTCAGAACTTTCTGACTTCAAAGCTGCATTCCCAACTTTTGTGCTAGCGCCTACTAAAGAGCCTTGAGCCTGGGCTGGCCGGCGCAGGCTTCCCTCTGCTGCGGGCAGTTCTGCCTTTTGTAAGCCCCTTGGCGGTGGTGTCCGACCCTCCTAGTTTCCTCTTCCCTCATCCTGCTGCTCAGGCTGCAACGGCAGCAGCAGCCAGTGGTCAGGAAGCTTGAAGTGGCCAGGGAGAAGGCCAGGTGGATTGGGGCCTGGCAGGGAAGCCCGATGGAAGGTGGGACGGGGCGGGGAACGTGCGGGCACATGACTCCCCTGCGCGACCCGGGACCTGGAGCTTTGTCAGAACACGATTCTAGGTGTGAAGAATGTACAGGGCCTTCCAGGGAGAGGCTTGGCAATGGGAAGACGCCAGTTGGAAAGATGGCACATGCCACGTGGTATGGATGTGGCTCAGGGACTCGGGATGACAAGTGGTACGCTCCTTCCCTTCTCTGAGAAGCCACAGCAGGCAGACCTCAGCCTGGCTCTCTCTGCTCCCTCTCCCCGCTGCCGACGGAGCCAGGTCACAGAGTCTGTGACTGCTACCTACATCCTGGCTTTCTGGAGGGGACGAGAGGCAGGGATGGGGCAGGTGGGGGTTGGCCCTGCGACAGATGTGGAAGCTGGGACAGGGCTTGAGGCTGGCTGCTGGGGAGAGGGGAACGAGTCTGAGGCCGGCACAGCCCCTGAGCTAGCCCTCTCCCCCGTAGATAACAAGGACATCCTGCTAATGCTGAGCGACATGGACATCAACGCCATCGCCGGCACCCTCAAGCTGTACTTCCGGGAACTGCCAGAGCCCCTCCTCACAGACCGGCTTTACCCGGCCTTCATGGAGGGCATCGGTGAGGCTCTGATGGTCGTGAGGGCTGAGCTGAGCCGGCATCCATGGCCTGGACAGTCCACAGCAAGATCCGTGGCCTCCCTTGCCCGTTGACCTGTTCAGTGTACTGGCTGGCTGGGTGGCTGAGGGGCCCAAGGGTGAGGGGTGGCCTGCTGGGGCCCGGGGCAGAGGCTGGCCCCTCTGTCCCTGCCTCTCACGTCCCTAGGGGTGGCCTCTTTTCTTTCTCCTTGCACACTGACTTGGTTGCTTAGAAACACAGGTTTTTAAGGAAGACTGCCCTGAAGCGGGCCAGCAGAAGCTGGCTCCCCGGAACCGAGGAAGAGGCTGGCTTGAGTCAGAGGGGAGTGGGGCTGGCTGGTGCTGAGCTTTCCAGAACTGCTCACCTCTCGCCTCTGCCAGGGGCACAAGCCAGCAGGGCCAAAGCCAGGCCTGGCAATCCCTCTTGCCTTTTCTTTTGCTGGGGCAGGGAGGGCTTCAGCCCACAGCGGGAGGGACCCCGGAGAAAGCCGCTTACTCCCACGCACCAGCACCTGAGGCAGTTGCGAGAGAAAATGCCCCGTGCCTGGCAGCATGTGCCATCATCGGGGGTGGCCCTGGGGGCCAAAATCCAGTCAGGGAGGGGAAAGAAGATAACAAGGACAAGGCGCTGGTTGTGGTGGGCCCTCCTGGAGGAACCAGCTGCTAACAGGCCACCCGGATACCAGGCCTTCCCTGGCAGGATCTGCTCCCCGAGCCCCTGGCAGCCTGGGCTCTCTCTTTCATGCTCACGACGCTGGTGGCTCCAGCGAGGGCTTCTGCACCCTGGGAGCCAAGCCCCAGCCCGGCCTCTTCCCTCCCCACAGCCCTGTCAGACCCTGCTGCCAAGGAAAACTGCATGATGCACCTGCTCCGCTCCCTGCCCGACCCCAACCTCATCACCTTCCTCTTCCTGCTGGAACACTTGAAAAGGTAAGGGGAGGGCCGGGAGCTGATACAGTCCCAGCCCTCCCTGGGACCCTGCTTCCTCAGCACCTCCTCATGGCTGCTGGCTTCTGCTGGGCCACTCGCAACGGTGTGACAGTTTGCCTTTCAACATGGAACAGGGTCTCATTAAGCTGCCCGGGCTGGGTCTGAACTTGTGATCCTCCCGCCTCGCCGTCCCAGAGGACTAGGATTATAGGCCCGTGCCACCATGCCCAGTTTGCTTTTCAATTTCTTATATTCACATTCTTCTGTTTTGGGAAATATGTGGATCCTGATCCCAGCCTCAAGTAGTGGCCATGAAATCTCCAGAATGGCAGGGTGGGCTAGAGCAAGGGCCATAGATAAACTTTATGGTTATTGGGCTCCAACCTGTCCGTAGTTCACTTGATCAATTTTATAATGATTTAAGTGAAATAGAATGGGCAGAATCAGGTTATGTGTAGAGGTACGTACTGGGTTACAACATAAAATACATTTGTTTTTGTGGGTCAGTCAGGAGCTCAGCCAGTACCTCTTAAATAGGGAAACAAAGTCCCCAAACCCAGCAGGGATTTGGGTTATGGATCTATCCTTAGAGCCACATCTTCCAGCTCCTAAACAAAGACCCTGCTTGTCCTCCCCTAACTCCTTCCACAGTCAAGAACCAAGAGCTGCTCAAAGTGTCACTTGCCCATGGTTTAGAACTAAAAGGTGTCTTCTTCACTCACTTTTGAGCCCAAGACTAATTCCAGACATGAATGGGGCTGGTGTCCCTTAAACCCACTTGCCACCCAGGAGCAGAGAGCCCCGAGAGGGCTGCTGTGTGCTCCAGCACCCTCGAGTTTAGCTCCACCCTTGAGTCCGGGCTCCTGCTAGTTTAGCCAGGCCAGGCTTGGGAAGACCAATGGAGACCTGGATGTGTCTGGGGCTGGTGTCTTGTTTTTCCCATTATGAGACATTTTCCTTCTGGTTTGGCCAGGACCAGAGCCCCAACCAATTCCCAAATAGTTTGGCGAGCGTCGTGGGGAGGAGGCAGAGGAGGAGTGGGAAAGGAAAATTCATTAGGTTTTCCACCCTGGGAACTAGGCACAGTCTGTCCCCACATCTGGGCCCCGGACTGGAGCCGTGTGCATGTGTGTGTCTGTGTGTATTGCAGGGGGGCTGGCCCGCAGCGCAGCTGCCTGTTGGCATCGCAGTGTTTGCCTGTTTCCAAAACAGTCAGCAGGCGCATCCATGGCTCTTGCCCACAGGGCGGGACTGATGGTGTGGTGGGGAGCGGGGTGAGAGGCACTGCCCAGGGTGGGTGTGTCTTAGCCCCAAAAACGTTTCCTGGGGAGGCCCTAGCTTCTGCATGTGATTGGTGATACCGAGCCTGCCTGGATACCAGCCACAGATGGCAACTGCTGTTATCACCCGAGGCACATAAGAGAGATCTGGCCTGTTATGCAAGGAGCAGGGAAAATCCAAAGGGAAGCAGCTCTGGGGTCCCACGAGCAGGCCCTTCTGGAGCAGCAGGGAGGGCAGCCCTGGGCTCCGCCTAGGGTTGAAACTGTTCCTGCCACAGCTCAACAGGCAGAACTGCAGATCCAGGGAGCAGCTGCTGCCAGGCTCCAGGCCCTCTTGCCCTGTCCACTCTTGACTCTCCTCCAGCCACTCCCCGCAGCTGGACAGCTGGATCATGAGTGTCATAGTTACTTTCTCGTTGCTGGGACAAACTGTCCAACACCCACAAATTAAAGGAGGAAAGGTTTATTTTAGCTGTTTGTAGAGGTTTCAGTCCATCGTTGGCTGGCTCCAGGGCAGAGTGGGTTGGCAGATGAGCATGGCACAGGAGAAACATTTCATGGCTTGGCAGACAGGAAGAAGCAAGTACCCAAGGCAGGAGTGCTTCCTACTAGGCTTCACCTGCCAGCAGCACACCCAGGCATAAAGGGTTCAGAATCTGAGTTCCTGGGCAGACTGCCAGCTTCACACCCCAGCTCTACACAGCACTTGCTGTGTGACGGTAGGCAAATCACTTGACTTCCCTGCACTTTGGTTTCTTCATCTCTCCAGTGGGGATGACTAATAGTACTCATAGTACTTACCTCAGAGGACCTTAACAAGTGTGTGTTACTACCGGGAAAGTTCTCCAAACAGTAACGGTTTGATCTCTAAGGCAAGCAAGTTCGAACTGATGGTTGTCCTTCTGAACTGGCAGTTTACCATTCCTTCAGCAGGCAGCCTGCAAGCTGGGAATCTGTTACAGGAATATCCTGGGATATAGCTGGGGCCTTGGGCCCTTGGCTCAGCCTCCTTCTCACCAGCAGGACTCTACCCTTGGGAGAGGGAGGCCAGGTGACCACCCTCCGGGAGTTCCTGCAGCTAAGACCAAGGGTCCCAGAGCTCTGAATGGCTGCTGAGGAATGACTTTTGTTCTCACTACCTTCCCTTTCAGGGTTGCTGAGAAGGAACCCATCAACAAAATGTCACTTCACAACCTGGCCACTGTGTTTGGCCCCACGTTACTGAGACCCTCGGAAGTGGAGAGCAAAGCACATCTCACGTCAGCTGCAGACATCTGGTCCCACGATGTCATGGCACAGGTACTGCAAGCACTGCCCAGGCCTGTGGCTGGCAGAAGAGTACAGAGAACTCAGAGTCCCCACACCTCTGCCCTCCTGAGCAGCTGAGCTCTGTAGGATGCCACCAGGAGGGCAGGGCTACGGACCATCCTGCCCCTCCCGGGTGGAAGAGAAATGTGAGGGCCCAGAGAATGACTGTCCCAGGTGCTAACTGCTTTCCTGGGAGGGCCTTATTCTCAGAAAGCAAGCCCCAGGGTGTAGGAAACGTCTGGGGACCTTATCCTCATGCATGAAAGCTCTGGGGTTGCTTCCAGGGACAAAACAGGACCGCCAAGCCAAAACCAACCTCAGCCCCTTTATGACTGGGGTACAGGGAGTGGCCTAGCGCCTCCACGCTGTCCTGTAGCGCCCTCTAGTGCTGCAGTGGGCTAACACCTGGGCTTCCCAGAAAGGTATGGCCAGAGCCCACCTGGGGAGCCTACAGGGGTCACACAAAGTCTCAGCAGGTCAGATGAAGAGAACCAGGAGGACAAGGATCTCAACCTCAGTCTATCCTGTCTTCCCACAGGTCCAGGTCCTCCTCTACTACCTGCAGCACCCCCCCATCTCCTTCGCAGAACTGAAGCGGAACACACTGTATTTCTCCACCGACGTGTAGCCCTAGGCCTGGGGCGGCTGTGGGGGGTGGTCAGAGCCAGCCCCTCCAGCCAGGCCCAAAACAGACTTGAAAGACTGCAACAGAAATTCCCCAGCCCAGCACTCCAGACTCCAAGGGAAGCCAACTTCCAAAAACTGGAATCTGTGCATCTTTTGTGCCACCTTGTACAAAGCCAGCTGACCAGCCCCCAGCCTCGCCACCACACCCTGGCTCCTGCCCTCTGTTCCTCTAGTTGTGTCTGATGCTCCGTGCTATTCGGGAATTGTTTTATGTATGTTTGTCATGCAGAAAAGGTAGTGACCAACCTGGTGTGGGCACACAGACGGCCTGCTTTGTTCTTTCATTTCCCCCAAAGCTTTCTTTCTTCCTGAGTCCAGTCCAAGGGCTTTTATTTGGCGCTATGTAACTGCTGCCGACTTTTCCCCCCTTGGCCCAGATTGCAGCCTCCCCTCAGTGTCCTCCACCCTTTCCTGCCTCCCAGCCTGCCACATGCATGTGCAGCCGCGGCTTTCGCTCCATCACCTAGGAAGTTCTGCAGAGGCCCAGGTGGCAGCGGCGGTGGTGGCCTCGCCCCGCCCTGTCCCTGTGGAAGCACACCTGCTTTGCCTTGCTGCTTGTGCAAACGTTGGACCAGGAGACAGACTCACACTAATCCTCAGCTTAGCACAGAGCTGGAGAGCTGATTTCTGGAATTTTCCACTTGAGAATCTCCATTTCTGGGGTTTGTCTGTTCTGTCTCCTGCCTACCAGTGAGGCATTTTTGACTGTTTCTTCTACTGCTGAGTTTTCAGTTCCTTTCCCCCGGGTGTTCTGTTTCCTTTGAGTGTGAAGACCCACAAGTGACCTGCTATCAAGAGAGCCAGAGGGTCAGAAAGGCATCTGGGGAAGGGGGCGGTCAGCCGTAGCACGCGGCGGGGCGGCCTGAGTCATGGGGGAGCAGCTCTCAGCAGGAGTTGCAGGGGCTTTCCTCGTGCAGCCGGGCTTCCTGGAGGGTGACTACTGTGGCTAAAGTAGGTGTCAGAAGCAAGCAGGCTCTGCCCTGGAGGCTGCCTGGCACCTCACATACCTCGTGGTACTTTGCCTTAGATTTTTCACTCTCTCCACAGCCAAGCACTGCCGCGGGGCAGCCCCCACTGCCACGTGTGCTCCAGGGCCCGGGAAAGGAAGGCATAGTCTACCAACTGACGTGGCGCTGCCCCCGACCCACGCGCCGCCTCATGGGTGAACTCAAAAGTGCCCAAGTTGAGGGAAGATGAGGAATCGCAGGCACCCACCGGCCTCTTTTGGGGCTGGCTTTTGCTGGGCCTTTATTGTTGACACTGCTGCAGGCAGGGGATCAGCGGGTGCCAATCCCAGCCCTGAGACCCACTGTTCAGTACTGGAAAGGAGCAAGATTGATTCCCAAAGCACCATTTCCCTTCTGAGCAGCAGTTGTCCGACCATGGCTATGAGCTTGAGAGGACAGACATACCCAGGGACGAGAGCCATAGCACAGTGCCCTGGCTCTTCTGTGTGACAGAGTGTGTCAATTCCAGGGCCTCAGGACGGGGAGAACAGCTCCCACTGCTTGTGCTCAGGGCGTAAGTCTAAAGAAGGACTTGCTGGCCCTAAAGCTGTGATGTTTGCTTGGCAAGAGGCCTTCTGATCCTTTTTATACCTGTTGCCTTCAGCAGAAATGGTATACTCTATATGCTGGAGCAAAGTAATGCTTGAGATAAAGAAATGCTCACCACCCAGCTCCCCGGTAGCAGCTGAGGACGGAGCCCCATTTCCTGGTGAAGAATGCCGTGGAGTGTTAAGATCCCAGCGTCTGACCATTCCTAAAGTCTCTGCTTGACACCCAGGTGTTGATGATGGCACAGAAGGTTCTTTCTTCCAAAGGATTGAGTAGCAAATTAGAGGCCCAACTACAATGAAATATAGCTCCAAATGGGTGCCTCCTGCCTCCCCAAATGAGGAGTGTTTGCTTCTGAGCATTAGGTAGCTATTGCAGCCCCGCGCTTGCTTATGCAATATAAGAGGAAGGCTGGAAGGGCTGAGAGATGCAGAAGGCTCATATTTATAAATTCCACCCCAAGTGGGAGGGTTGGGTGCCAGACCTGGACTAAGCTGCACCAAGGAAATACCTGGTGGGTTCTCCTGAAAGACAGGGACTGTACAGCTCAGATCCCCCATCACTGTGCCCAGCAGGGCAGCCTGTGCCAAGCAGATGCCAGGAGACAGGCTACAGGAACCCCAGGCATGCCTGTCCTTGCTAGGCAATGGCTGAGGGCTGCCAGTTTTTGCCGATAGAGGTAGGATGGGACCCTTCATTAATATTTGACTTTAATAAGTTGGTAAGGATATATTTTTTTTGTCTCTGTTCTGTTTCAACTTATGTAGATTATTATAAATTGGTGTAAACCATGTGAGAGGAAAATGTTAATAAAAAAAATGCAAAGCCCCAACATTTGCACAAAACTCAGGCCTGTGGTGTGGGTGTTTGTAATCTCAGCAGTCCAGGAAAGACCACCAATGTAAATATTTAATTCTCCCAGCTGTATCCACATGTGTTTCCAAGAACTTACCTAGCTAACTGTTCCGAGTGTTCCCTTTGGCCTTTGGGACTCTGGGCCAAAGTGAGCCCAAGCCCTCTCCCTGCTCTTTCCAGAGGTCTCCAAGTCAGCTGCCAGCCAGGCTACTGGTCTCACCACCTGCATTTGCTGCTACAGTTTTCTTCAAGTATCTCACCACAGACCTAGCCATCGACGTTCCTTGGAGAGTTGGCAAGAAGCTGTCCATTGATTTTCTGTCACCTTTTCTCTACATTTTCCTTGGAAGTGGCATGTCTCTGGGTAGCCGTCTGCTCTGCCTGCTTGTCAGGGAAGAAAGCTGCATCCCCCAGAGGACCCACCTTCCTTTTGGGATTGCCAGTGGGGTTAACATGGGCTGCCACCAGCCTAAGCCAGTGGACACTATTTATTCTGGCAATCAGGAACAGATGTCTCTGAAAATTGCTGTTTGGTTTATGAGCTCATACTGGCTCCCTGGTCATCTAAAACAGGAAGCTATTCATCTCTCCCGATTGAATAGTCAGAATGGACAAGAGATCGCTTATTGAACTGATGGCTACTGACTGGCTTCTAGGCTCATCTTTTGCCAAGCAATTGTTCAGGCACTGTTTCTTGTACTCCAGCCCATGTACAAGCCTAGCTAGAGAGGAATGTCTCACTACCCTTCCTTTAAAGTCGTCTCAGGTGTGAAGTATTTAGAGACAGCACAGGAGACATTCCTACATTTGTTCTCTGTGCTCTGCGGAGTGCTCTGACTGGCCTGGCAATGCTGAACATTCATGCTTATGAGCATGGGACAGGAATCATGTAGAATTTACCATAGAAGGATATGGGTCCCGTGTGCTAGCTCACTCTCATGCCAGGGAAACAGCAGGCGCTGCCAGAAGGTGTTACCAGCCTGATTTGACATCACTCACACACAAATATATACACACAGTTCTAAATTGTGGTTAAGGATGGGTGAGTCAGAAGACAAAAAAGATGAGAAAAAAGCAAAAAAGTGGAAATTACTGTACACTAGAAAACAGTACCGCTGACTGAAGGGAGCCGGGATAACGTGGCCACCCCCAAGCCTACTGTCTGATGCCCACAAAGAAGGAAGTCCCAAGGTGTCAGCACCAGAGTAAAAGCTGCACAGCACAGTAGCAGAGCCCAACAATAAAAGATACTGTTTGTTTTGTTTTTTGCCTATGACACACAATGGAGCTCAGCTGTTATTTTCAGTACAAGACCACAGGTCAAGTCAAAAACACAAAATTTTTAAAACACTACACGTGGAGAACAAGGGTGGTGGTAAACAGCCCTTCCACAATGTCTGATCTTAGCCAGCAGCTTCTGGATGACCACAGTAGGACCCTTCACTCGTGTCCGAGTGAGCCTGGGCAGGAAACCAGTGTGTGGTCCAGCAAACTGCAAGCTTATGAGCAAGCGCTGCAGGTTCCTTAGAAGAGCCCGGTGGGGATTTCAGTGTATCCTAGAAAGCAGCCAGGATGGGCTTCTGGCGAGCAAGGCCTGGCTGACGTAATGATTTGGTGATGATGACAATGTTCTACAAACCCTGAGAATCTAGCATTTCTAGCCTTCTCAGGAAGTTCTCATTCTTTCTCACTGGACTGTGTCGTGCTGTGAGCCACCAGGCACCACTTTTGGGAAATATAGAGTTTGGAAATAAATACAAACCAACTTTTTAAACTGTAATATAAATATATTTTAATAAGGATGACTACTAAAAAAAAAAGACATAATCGATTGGATGGCATAAGTTTACTCTGCCCTGCCCTGGTAGGCACAGTAGACGTTCGCATGAAGTTCCAAGGCAAAGGAGCTTCCCGGGCTGGTGTAAACACGCTGCCACCTTCCTGCCCACGGCAGCAAACAACCCAGAAGGCTGGAGGCAGTCAGGACTCAGCGTCTGTGGAACTTAATTCCTAACAGTCAGTAGCTAGTCTCCTGATCTGCTCTACGGAGACAGTCTGGCACAGAACATCCCTGAAGGCTTGGAGGAAGCCCACAGCAGTAGAACATGGCTGCTCTAAAGGCTGGAAGCAGAAAGCAGCAGCCAGGCAATTCCCTCAAACACCAGCTCCGTGAGGGAAAACAAATGTCTTCTGCCCCTCAAGCAAGTGCCAAGTGGTAAAGAAACTATCCTTGAAGAAGAGCTCTGATCCTGGGCTGGCATCCCCTCCTCCACAGGCAATCTCTTTCACCGGAGGTAATAATCGATTGCAGCAGAGAAAGCAGCAAAACCTCCACAACCAATGGCCCCAGCCTTTAAGCCAGCTGTAATGCAAAGAGAAGTAACATTACCTTACCTAACATTACCTGACAGATAGTGGGGTCAGGCTGCATTTACAAAAGGTTTGTACAGTGGACCCTTGACTTATGAATGCAGTTAGTTCACGAGGAATGGTTGTAACTCAAATTGATTGTAAGTCAAGACTTCTTCTCATAAATCATGGAAATACCCATAATACATTCCAAACCACCCAAAGCACCCCTTAACTAACCATTTCGCAATAAAAAAGATTGTATAATGTGCATAATTTACCAGAAACACCAGTAATTTTCCTAGTGTAGTCACCAAAAAGTTATAAAATGTGTCCAGTTTACCAGAAACAACAATTTCATACTGTACTCACCATTCAAGTTGACATCTTTGGGTTATTTGGAAGAAGAATCCCCTTCCACAAGAACATCAAGAATCTGGCCCCAGACTGACACTTAGATATGCTTACATACACTTTCCCGGCATCGCAAGTCTTTGTTTACAACTGCACAAGTGGCCGGCATTCGGCTTGTAACTCAAGACCTTGGTGGTAAATTAAACTGTTAAAATTCCTGTCTTAACCCAAGTTGTTCATATGTTCACATGTGAAGCCAGTCCTAACTTGAGAGTGCACTGTACACCCACAGATACAATAAAACCAGCTTAAGCATTCTTGGTCATTCAACCAGTGATGGCTTTGTGACACTTCAGTGACACAATTTATATATCTAAGCCAGTATGCTTTATCTAACTGCTCAATTCACTTAACTTTTCTCATTCCAAAGAATTACTACTCCCAGTCTTATGGAAATGGCTCCTCACAGGCAGGAAACTGGCGAAGAGCACCAGCCCCTGGAATCAAATAAAAGCATATGGCCTTTTACCCCGATCTGTTTATGGAATAAATTCCTGGCAAGGTGATCAAAGCAGTCCTGGACGGAGCTGAGTTTCTCACAGAGACCCTGAAAAAAATGAGCACTGAGAAGACCAAAAGAAAAGCCACTCTATAAATCACACATAGCCATCTGAGGAGCAAAATTGGGCTTTAATGACACTAAATCATCCTGACTCTGAGAAGATAAGAGGCTTTTTGCCCTGGGTAAGTCAGGGTGCTACTGGATGGAAAGAGACCCAGGAATGTCTATTCTGCTTGTAGAAAAGGCAACTCCCTGAAGTCTATTCTTGACTATACCAACAGGGAGATGGGATGGGGATCAGATAACCTAGCATTTCTAAGATGTTTGTACCTAGCTTCTTAGCTTTTTCTTTTTTCAGTTGTACTGGGGATTGAACCCAGGGCCCAACACATGCTAGGCAAACACTACCATCAACCCATACCCCCAGCCCTTTCTTTTCTCCTCTTTTTTTTTTTTTTAATTTTGAGACAGGGTCTCACTAGGTTGGCCAAGTTGTGCTTGAATTCTGATCCTCCTGTCTCAGCCTCCTAAGTAGCTGGAATTACAGAATGTACCACTGTGCTCAGCTTCTATACTTAGCTCTCAATGGGTTGATTCTAAGAATCTCCCACTGCACAAAGATATTAACATCATAATTTATATATAAAATTAAAACTGCTAACTAGAGCTGGTGATGTAGCTTAGTGGTAGAGTGCATGCTTGGCATTCACAAGGCACTGGGTTCAATCCCCAGCACCAGAAAACAAAGCAAAACAAAACACCTGACAACTGTGTAAAATTAAGAAAAAATTCCTGTAATCCCAACACTCTGGGAAGTTGATGCAAAGTGATCACAAGTTCAAGCCCAGCCTGGGAAACTTAGACCCTATTTCAAAACAAAAAATGGGTTGGGAATGTAGCTCCATGCAAAGGCCCCAGGTTCAATCTCACTACCAAGGAAGACAGAAAGGAAGATAAAAGAAAAAAACCCTAAATATGTGAAATGCATGGAGCAGCAAGTTTAGCACATCCTGTGTGTAGACAAACCGGCCACTCCAGGTTGAGTGGAGCCAGCTATGCCTCTGTACTATCCTGTATACCAACACATTCCAACTTACTCATGGTGAAAGTTGTGCTATACACTCAGTATGGGGGTAGTTCTTTTTTCTAAGATAAATCTAGGTCAGTGGTTCCTAGGTGGGGTTGATTCGCCCCGCCCACCAGGGGCTTTTGACGACTGAAGGGGTGCTATTAGCGTTTGGCTAGACATCAATTCAAACCCAACAATGCACGGGAATGACTCCCCGACCCCAGTAAAGATTTATCTGATCCAGAATGGCAACAGCACCAAAGATGAGAACCACGATGCAGATACAAGCAAGTTTCCAAAACAGTTCACACAAAAGTGATCAGGATTTATTTGTTAGGAGAAAAGAATATCAAATGTCCTTGGAACACTCATATGTTTGGAAATCTCAACATCAGCACATTGGCCAAGACCACAAAAGAAAATCATTCGAGCTGTTTACTAACCTCTGAAACCAATGGCTCCTCCAGTGATGCAGCCACTAATGACGCTGTTCTTCCAATCTGACTTTCCCCGGTACTGTGGGTGGGGAAATGTAGCTTAGAGTCACAGCAAGCCAGACCAGACAACAAAGGAAAAAAACACAGGGCTTCCAATTGGCTAATTCAGACTCTCCCAAAGGAAACCCAATCTTCAAAAGTATCCTAGTTTCCAGAATTTGAATATGTGCACAGATGCTTCCTGCAGGTGGCACCAGAGTGCAGAAACCAAGTACTTCTACAGTACAGTATTCGAGAAGTAATCAAAATTTCATCCCAAATTCTCCAATAAATCTTACTTTTAAAATTATTAACTGAAAGCTGGGCATAGTGGTACATGTCTGTAGTCCCAGCTCCTCGGGAGGCTAAGGCAGGAGGATCATTTGAGCCCAGGAGTTCAAGACCAGTTTAGGCAACAATATAGCAAAATCCCACCTCAAAAATAAATGCATACATACAAAAATAAAAATAGAATTGTTAACTGGACTAGGGGATGTACCTCAATGGAACAGCAGTTGGCTAGCCTCTGTGAAGTTCTGGGTTCAAATTGCAGCACCAAAAAAAAATTTAACTCCTCACCAATAAAAGCCAAAAAAAAAAAAAAAAAAAATCCCATATCATAAACACACAAAATGTCTACAGCACAAACTGTTTTATGGAAGTACCCTCTGGACTGTGTCTTGATGTTTCTGATCTGCATTCTAGTAACAACATTAAGGGCATTATCTTTAAAAGTGAGATGGTGGCAGACAAGGATTTCTTAGAAAGCAGAGAGACACTTACAGATTCTACCAAGCACTCAGTACAGGAAAACATGGCACCCACAATGGCAAAATTTTTGGCATAGGACATTCCTCTCTGCCCCATGTCTTTAAGGACTTCTTTTGCAGTCGGCGTACGGTAAGGATCCTTAGGGTCAAAGCCTACGTTGGTATCAATACCGGCAGTGAACACCCCAAATGCACCTCCCAAAACAAATCCTAAAAGCAAACAGAGATGAACATTTCTTCAGCATGTTTTCTGGATTACTGTGTTGGGATCGTACCTGAAGTCAATCTTTTGGGTGGCCCCAAGTGTGGAGGTCACCCCTCTCGCCACTCTAATGCTCTTATTTGCCTCATTACAAAATTTGGGCCCGGCTTGGTGGCGCACTCCTGTAATTGCAGCACTTGGGAGGCTGAAGCAGGAGGATCGCTGAGAGTCAAAGGCTAGCACCAACTACATAGTGAGACCCTGTCTCAAAAAAGGAGGCGTCTATCTTCTCTGCCTCTTCTAGGATTTTTCCTTCCGTTCATAACATTCCTCATGATTCAGCCTGCAACCTATGTTCTCTCTACACTTTATATGGAAACCAACCCCCTCAAATTCAGTTACCAACTTTGTAAATCACTCCCTTGGTCATGGTGTCATTCATAAGTCCCTTGCTTACTCATGTGTGAGGTACTGGGATAGTTTATAGTCACCGCCTCATTTATTCTTCACAGTAATCCTATAATCTCAGTACTCTGGGAGGCTGAGGCAAAAGCATTGCAAGTTTAAATCCAACTGGGCTACTTATGAGACCATCTTTTTTTTTCAAAGGTGAGGAATGTAGGGCTGGGGCTATAGCTCAGTGGCATAAGCGCCTGCCTGGCAAGTGCAAGGTCATGAGTTTGATTCCCAGTACCGCAAAAAAAAAAAAGGGGGGGGGCACGGTGAGGAATGTAGCTCAGTACAAACACCCTGGGTTCAATCCCCAGTACTGCAAAAACAACCAACAAACAAAAAACACGGCTACCAAATGGCAAATCCCACACCGCTGTCCACATACAACCTTCCCGAGGTGCTGAATGGTGACATCCATATGGCAGCTTACAAAATGATCGACTTTGTCCATCTGCTCACTTACTCATTCAGCAAGCTGTTACTAAGCAACTGTCACATCCCAGGCTGTGGGAATATTGATGAAACAGACAAGAGCCCCTCCTTCTCCTGCTGGAAACGGGAGAAAATGCAGGTCTTCTCATACCTCAAGGGCAAGGATAATTCCATGAAATCGTGGACACCGCTCATCCCTGACTTTCCTGCTTATGGCGCCTTCTTTCCCCTCACTCTAGTATGTTACTTTTTAACATTTGCACTTTCCTTACAGTCTTTTTTCTTTTCTGTCTTTTTGAGAAAGGGTCTCGCTATGCAGTTCAGGCTGGCCTTGAACTCACTTTATTTTTGTTTTGTCTTTTTGAGACAGGGTCTCCCTACGTAGTTCAGGCTGGCCTTGAGCTCACTTTGTAGCCCACGCTGGCCTGGAACTTTCAGTGATCCTCCTGCCTCAGCCTCCCGAGTGCTGCAATTACAGGTGTGCGCCACCACGCCCGGCTTGAGCTTACTTTATCGCCCAGGCTGGTCTCGAACTCACAACAATCCTCCTGCCTCAGCCTCCCGAGTGCTGGGGTTACAGGGGTGCACCACCACGCCTCGCTGTTACAGTCATTTCTTAAACGTCTTTCATTCTCAATGAAATTGGAACTCATGTACACATGCGGTCCACTTCTTGAAGGTATGCCGTAAGCTCTTAAATCCTCAAAAGGTTACGTTGTCATTTCAGGCAAAGCCACCTCCGCTTGCACGCTACAGTCTAGTCACATTGGTCCCCCCAAGCCTCAAAGCAGTTCCTGCCCCACAGGCCTTTGCATCTGCAGTCCCCAGGTCTGCAGCACTCCCGCAAGGCTCGTATTCAGCGCTCCTCTCCCATACAGCGAACTGCCGTGCTCGGGAGAACGAGGGTCTCGTAGGTTCCCGGCCGGCCCGAGTTCCCACCTCCGGGCACCCAGCTGTGAGTAACAGCTTGCTGAATGAGTAAGTGGCTCAACAAATCAATGAACCAAATCCACCACCTTACGTACTGGCAGACCGCAGCACTGATTCTCTGATCCAATGCTAACCTCGGGGACAGGAGAGGCGTCGCCGACCTCACTGCGCGGGCGCAGCCAAGGTCGAAGCCTACAGATCCCTCGCCTCCCGGGCGCGCGGTCTTCCCGGCAGAGGACCCCAAGGCTCTCCAAGTGCTCAGCCTCCCCAAGGACCCCAAAGCCTCGCCTCACCTCCCACGCAGGCAAGCGCCGCCTTGAAGGCGCAGCTCTCCATCGCCCTCTCAATCATCTTCTGTTCCTCACTCTTGGCCGGACTCGGTATCCCGCCCAAGCTCCCAGGCTCCAGGAGCCGGGGCTGGCGCTTATCGCCCACCAGGTATTGCAGAAGAAGGCTGTACTGCAGGTGGGCTTCTGTGGAACTCGCCGCCTCGGGCGCGGAGCCACTGGTACTGGGGGAAGCCGCCGCCATGACTGCCCAAGAAGCCCTGGCGCCGTTCTGCCCGCAGCAGATTCCACAAGCTTCCCGTCGTGGGCTCTGAGAGGCAGCTACCGTGTTGCAACGGCAGATTCGCCACAACGAGGAAGTTGTGGAAGCACAAGTCGGTTTATGCTCCCCGGTGAAAGAGTTATCATGTTTCCGAGCCTCTTTTGAAGGCTGAATTAGGCTTATGAAGCATTCTCAAGTTCCCCACAAACAAACAAGATTCAGATTCACCCGAAACCGCGCTCATTTTGAGGCTGCAGCGCGGTGCTTGCCGGGATTTATAGTTCCAACTCGAACATCCAACTACATTTCCCAGGAAACCGTGCGCGAGCTCTCGCTGGGCGGGCTCGGCAGAAACACTTCGGTGCTGTTGAGAGGCGGGCGAGAAGTGTAGCGAGTCCGCTAGGCTGAAGTTAGCTAGGGAACCGGCAAGGGGTGGACGTGGTTTACCCTTTCTTTTGCCCCCCAATCATTGGCGAGCTCCCACTTTTTTCTCCTTTTTTTTTGAGGCGGGGATCTCACTATGTTGTCAAGGCTGGTATCGAGCTCGTGAATTCTCCCGTCTGAGCCCACCGGCGTGGACCACCACACCGGCTTAATTGGAACGTGCTTGTCTTTTTGAGGCAGGGTCTCGCTATGCAGTTTAGGCTGGCCTTGAGCTTGCTTTGTAGCCCAGGCTGGCCTCGAACTCGCAACGATCCTCCTGCCTCAGCCTCCCAAGTGCTGGTTATTACAGGTGTGCGCCACCACGCCGGGCTGGAATGTGCTGGAAGGTGGTGAGACATGGAAATGGTGGTATCTTTGTAAGATAAACGTGGAAGCGTGATATAAATGTATAACACAAATATTTTGTTCAGTAATTAAGCCTTTGAGGAGAAAGATGGGCCCAACAAATGAGTGAGGCTAGCCAAACGTCAGAAATAGCAAGAACTGTGACTAGGAAGCGGAGGCAGCTGGGGTCCCACGGAGAGAAGGCAGTCTGTGCGGGAACTCACTTTAGCCAGTTGTTGCCAGTGGGACTATGATGTGGACCATTATTACCATAAAAAGCCTAATTTATGTTAGGTTGAACGCATTCAAGTGTTTACCACCTTGCAAATTCAATACCTAAAGATAAAACTGTGAGATAGTACGAATGTGAACTCAGAAAAAAAAATGCTATAGTTCTTATGGTATTAAAATAGATCTCCCACCATGGTACTGATTCAGACTGGCATTTATTTTATTTTATTTTATTTTGCAGCTCTGAGCTTGGAACCCGGGGCCTTCTGCATGCTAGGCAAGCATTCTATAACTGAGCTACATCCTTAGCCTCAGACTAGCAATTTATTTGGGTATCTCAGGTAAGAGGAAAATGCACTGCTAACTGCAGAAGACCAAAGGAAGCAGCAGGTGTAGGGTCTCCAGCCATAGAGTCTTGGAGGTTTATGGGCAGAAGCTGATGAATGTTAGCCACCAGGTTTGGGACACGCTTTCCTATATACAACTCCAAGGCACTGTGGTTACTCCTCCCGTCTCCACTGTGAAGTTCATGTATAAATTGCTGGGCCTGGTGGCACATGCCTATAATCCCAGCACTCTGGGAGACTGAGGCAAGATGATTACAAGTCTGAGCCCAGCCTGGACAACTTGGTGACCTAGAAAGACCCTGTCTTAAAATAAAAAATGAAAGGCCTGGGAAGGTAGCTCATGGTGAAGGCCTGGGGTTCGATTCTCAGTACTGAAAAAAAAAGTCATTAATGAGCATAACCTATTCATAGTCATGGAGAGCCGCTTGGCCTAGTGGGGGCTTGGACTTGCAGGCTCATTGCAGCCCTGGGCCCCCATTGTTCTGCATTGGTGTTGCACGGCCTTTAATGAGCTTCAGAAGCACCTGCAGAGATGGCCTCTGAATGTTGGGCATGGATTTCTAATTAAGACAAGGAGTGGGCATGGAAAAGGTGCATCTCCTAGCTGATGCTACTGCTTAGGGACCACATTTTGGGGGCTACCGATCCATATCATTGTCCACAATGATTCTTACTGGAAGTAGAGTCACTGTACTCAGAGCCCCGCTGAAATGGGAAGGTAACTGACTCTAGAATACATCTCCAGGCCAGGAGCCCTTGGAAGCGTGGCAGAAATCCAGAGAAGACAGAAGTGGCACACTGCCGGTTTCATCTGTACCCGGAAAGCAGATTTGGCTTGCTGGCAGGGCTGTCCTCTATGGGTTTGGGCCGATGTGTTGTGGAAAAAAATCACTGACCCCTCGACCCCTCCGACAGTATTTGCTTTTGTCTGAAGTGACAGCTCAACTTGCTAAGTCCAGCAGTAACACCCAGGAGCACAGGTGGCCACCTCCTGCCCTGTGAGGAGGCCTCAGACTGCAAATAATAGCCTGCCCCACGGAGGGGCAGTTAGACAGCAACAAACTCAGGCCTCCAGGTCAGACCCCCAGGCACAGAGGGGAGCAGAACTGAGAGGCAGGCTGGGGGGCGCCCCCTCTGGCTTCTGTTGTGCACCCACAGGCAGAAGCCGTTGTGGGGCTACCGGGTTCAAATGGTCCTGAATTAGAGCTTAACTTTACCCCTCAAATCTGTTCTTCTGTTTCCCATCTGGGTGAATGGTAGCTCCAAACACTCAAAAGCGTTCTCCGACTCCTTGTGTCTGCATCATCCATGAAGCTTCTAAGCAACTTTCAACCTGACCCTTTCCTTTTTACATTTTATTGCCATTGCAGTTGTGTAAACCCCTCATTATTTCTCAATTAGTACTTTTCTGTATGGGGAATTAAACCCAGGGCCTTTGTACTGAGCTACTTCCCCAGCCCCTTTTTTATTTTATTATTTTTATTTTTGAGACAAAGTCTCATTAAGCTCTAAACTGCCCAGGCTGTCCTCAAACTTGTGATTCTCCTGCCTCAGCCTCCTGAGTGCTGGGATTACAGGCGTGCACCGTTCCCCCAAGCTCTAGATTCTAGATTGTTCTTGCCTCCCTTCTTGGGCTTCTCCAAACCATCCACAGAGCCATCTTTCAGCACAGAAACGTGTTCGCTTAATTCTGTAATTGTGGCGGAGGAGGAGGAAAGATGGTAGAGACTACAGTTTAACTGAGGAGCAGAAGGTGATCAAGGCCAAGTATCCTCCAGTCATTCCAAAGTATGAATATTTGGATCATACAGCAGATGTCCAGCTACCTGCGTGGGGAGAGACTCTGGAGGAAGCACTGAGCGTGCAGCGGCCATGACATATAGGGGACTGTGGCACCCCTCCAAATCACAGGAGAAACCCAGTGAGATGATTTATGGCCTCTTCTGTTTCACTTTTTGGATGAGTGTCTTTGTAAGTTCATTGCTGGTGAGTTCTTCATACTCTAAGCAGTGAATGTGTTTAGTAAATTAAACAATAGTAGCAGTCCAAGAAACTTTATACTACCTTAAATTGGATGGGGAGAAGAGTTTTCACTTTCTAAGCATGCTCGGGGAACAGAAGTCAAAGCACTAACATATTCGGCACTGCAGGTTTATAATGAAGAGAAGCCAGAGGTTTTTGTGATCGTTGACATTGAACACACACACAAGTGGAAAATCAGCCGAGTGTGGTGGCGCGTGCCCATAATCTCAGCTACTCTGGAGCTGAGGAAAGAGGATTGAAAGCTCAAGGCCAGCCTATGCAACTCAGCAAAACTCTCATCTCAAAAAGAAAAAAATAATAAGAGGGCTCCAATAGTAAAGCAGCCCAAGGTTCCATCCACAGTACTGGGGAAGAAAAAAGGCAATAGAAAATCAGGGAATAAACAGCCTTGGTCTGTGTTCTCTACATATTCAAGCTTTAAAGAATTCTTCAATTCTTAAGGGGCAATTATGGTCCCTCTTTTAATTCCCTGCTTTGGCAGAAGGTGCCTCAAGCCCTTCCAAAGGGAGGCACGCCTTCTGGTCTGGTCCCAGGAGGGATCGCTTGTGTGAGTAGCAGTTGGGATAGCATCAAGTTTGGGGGAAAAAAAAAGAAGAAGAAGGAGAATTTGAAAAAAAAAAAATTTCTACACTTAAGGAAGAAAAAAAACCCCTCACTTCCCCTGCTCTGAATTCTCTGTGCCAGGATGAAATCTAAACTCCATGTGTTGCTTTTACAACTTGTGCCCAGGAAGACACAAGCTACAGCCCAAGCTTAATTCATACTGGAACATTTCCATTCCCAGTTGTCTGCTTTTGATATTCTCACTTGGATCTGGAAGTGATGAGTCGGAATCATTCTGTACCTCATATTCTTTAGTATTTGAGAGCTGAATTTGGACTTCGGGCTGTGTATCATTTCTTTACAAATAGCATTCTTTGACGTGGGCCCTTCATCAAGTTGGAAGTGTTAGACGATTTTGCTCCTACTAGGTCTCAGTTCTTTTTGACTCTGACCTGTAATAACCATGGGGAAGCAACAGTTGCCTGTGCTCTTTTCAGTCAAAGTCCTTAGATTCTAGCTTGTTTCTGGTGGGTAGCCTATTATTAGGGGTCAGTTTTCCCCCCACACCATAATTGTTTGGAAGTTTTATTTATTCACCCATACCCACAGTCCAGATTTGCTTACTATCTCTTGTGCTATTGCTTTGGATTTATTCACCAAAAGCCATTGAAAATGCGGCAAACAGTTGACCATCTGGTGCATTGTTGTTAGGACCCACTTCAGGTTTGGATAATGGGTCATATACTTTGGCTAGATCTACAGTAGAGATGTAATCTCAGATTTGTTCTGAAAACTAGCAAAGGCAAATGGAAATATCCATAACATTTTTTTCTAGCACCTCGCACTTACCACAAAAAAGTTAAAAAAAGAGGAAACACCAAGAGTTAGAGACAAGGGCTAGGGGTATGGCTCAGTGGTAAAGAGTTTACCTAGTTCCCGTGAAGTTCTGGAAGTTCTGGATTCCATCCCCATCCCTACAAAGACAAATGAACTAGAGACCGGACCCTACAGGCGCGGTGGTGCACACCTGTAATTGCAGCTACCTAGGAGACTGAGCATGAGGATTGTGAGTGCAGGGCCAATCTGGGCAATTAGCAAGACTGTGCCTCAAATTTTTAAAAAAGAGAGGTGGGGAAGGGATAAATGATGAGAAAAAAAAAGAATTGGGATATATTATGTATAAGTGCCAACTTCCCACAAGGAGTATAAACATCATTATACTAGCCACATGTACCAATAAGCTAAAAAGATAAAAAAAATTTTAAAGAGAGCGCTGGG